AATAGCCTGGGAAAGGTCTTAACCCCCCCCCCCCCCCTCCGCCCCCCCCCCCCCTCTGGAAAATTGTGTAGCCCTTGTTCGGCCTCTCACCTGATGTTTCATAGAAACTCCACAGGAGAGAACATCTAATCCACTTTAAGGTCGACGTCTCAGGGCAGTTAATTTTGTACCAACACTTACACATTAAACTCGAGACACCACGTTATTATTTAAAATACTTGATTAGGGTAGAACATCTATATTTTAGTAATAGGGGATAAATCGGGCTCAGTTTAGTACAACAGACGTTAAAAACCTCAAACTAGACTAAGGTCTGTTCGACCTGACTACTGCTCTGAGTTTTATACAGATAGAAAACAACGACCAAACCAAAAAATCCAAATTTTAAATCCTAGCTTGATTGTGACCAATGTTTCTTTCTACTTCAGGAATGTTGATATGCTTCAATGCGAATGTCGAATGCGGTACGTCTGGATGTTACAATGATTACCAACAGTGCTATGACGCAAATGTAAAGATTGAGAGACCTCAGTCCCTTAGAGGAGACTGGACTTCTTTTTGCAAGTATGTTTCATTTAGATGTTTCATTTAGATTAGACTCTCCAGATTCATTCCAAATTGGCTAGTAAGCAAGCAGATTTTGGCACATTAGTTTTTTGACAGCAGGAAAGTAAATATTACATTTTAGTGGGGGGGGGGGGGGGGGGCGTGACTTATAGCTAGATTATTCCAGATTACTCATTACGTCATATAACAAGCAGATTTTGTGCCATTTCCTTCAGTGGAGTTTTCCATTATCAATGCATTAGGCTATAGTTACTCATGGCAATGCACCTTCTATATTTAGTTTTTATTAGTGCATAACATATTATATATTGATAAATATTAAAAACGGTATTGGCACCATGTTTGCAAACGACATACGAAACTACCCTTCGTTCCTATATGGAAATAACAGACACGAACTTGGTTGACCGGTTTAAGGGGCAGTATGCAAACAGTCTTTTTTTGTTTATGCAGACTGTAGTACATAGACATTTATTATATAAAATTGATTATATAAAACTCTTAATTACATACGATGAACATAATGATATGATTAAGAATACATTAGAAACACCAATTAATCAATAGTTTGCGTAATTTGTACAAAAATGTTTTTCGACCTATGTAGAAATCGTAATGCCCTTACGCCAGACGCAATCAATCGAATTTTGAGAAAGGTCTTTAATATCCCAGCTAAGCCTTCAAACCACATTTAGCTTCATAAGCCAAAACTCATCAATAAACTCGCATAAACAATATTCTGGCTTTTTAAATCTTTGAAAAAATCTTTCGATGCAACTTGATTCCGGTTTAGAAAAAGAACTTAGTTTGAGTCAAAAATTTCGCGATCTGATTTTATTAACTAGACCATACGCCCAGTTTTGTTTGGGAAAACGAAAGGGATCCTTAAGTGATTAACAGCACAAGTGGTTTAAAAATAGGTTAATGCACAATATAAAATTGTTCACAACAATTACTGATGATCTTTAAATCTTACAATAATAGGCATGAAATTTAATAACAGACGAGATTTCAGAATGCAAGAGAGAATTATGTTAAAAAGATTTCAGGTAGGGGGTGGGGGGTGGT